TGGAAAAATAGTTTTGAAATCTCAAAAAGTTGTGGTGTAAATATGTTTATTATCTAATTATTAAATGTTATCATGATCTGGAAAAAAAGAAGAAGTTGTCACAGAATAATTAGACAATACAAAAATATTTGCACTAAACTCTTTTAATACTTCTTTTTTTTTTGTTGCCTGAAAAAGTCTTTTAATACTTCAAAGCCTTCATTTTCTTGTAATCTTTAAATAATTAGACTATTTATGCGGCACTCTATGGTTATTTTCCCAAAAGATATCTCCCGCTTCGCATTTCTGATCAAAGGGACATTATCTGAACGTAGAAATTTGGAAATGACCTTACCAAATGATGACTTTTGATAAAATTACGGATGTAGGTGGGCCACTACTCAATGATGACTATTGACCCCAAGTCAAGTTTGTTGGGTTTGGGAGATGGACCCTCACCTTCATTAGCTCCACTGACAACCTTGCTTCTTCCCAGTTCAACCAGTCGCTAAATATTTCAATGGCTGTTCCAGCTTCTTCGTCTTCTCCGATGAAGCATCATGTTTTCTTGAGTTTCAGAGGCACTGACACTCGCACCAACTGCACCGATCACTTGTACGATGCTTTGCTTCAACAAGGAATTGTAACTTCCAGGGATGATGCAGATCTTCACAAAGGACAAGTTATTAAGGAAGGACGAACTCCAAGTTATTGAGCAATCCATGTTTGCCTTTGTTGTGATCTCCAAGAATTATGCTGCTTCTTCTTGGTGTTTGGATGGATTGCGGAAGATCCTAAAATCCAAAAAGGACTCGAGTCAAACAGTTTTTCCAGTTTTTTATGGCATAGATCCATCTTATGTCCGACATCAAAAAAGAAAATTTGCAACCGATTTTGAGAAGCATGAAGTTAGATTTCCAGATGTTAAAGTACGAAGATGGAGAAAAGCTTTAACAAAGATTGCTAATATATCTGGTTGGGATACGAGAAATAAGTAGTTAATTATCATTAATTCCTCACCCATTTTTTATTTTTTCTGTTCCCACAATTTGCTCCTTAGTTTTTTTTATCTCTTTGTTTTTAGATCAACTTTTTTCATTATTATCTATGTGAGATCTTTTTGTTTTTTAACGACAAGTCAAAAATATACTTGTTGCAGAATGATATATATTCTCTTCATCTGACTTTCAAAACTTGGCAGATAGTGAAGCTGTGAACCATAGTAGTTGTTCAGGTCAAAAAAAACAAACAACAAACAGACAGACAAACCATAGTAGTTGTAAATATGAATATCTCTATTCGTTTGATTACAATATAATTTATAGAGACTTGATGGTTTTCAGGGAAAAAGCATTGAAATTAATTGAACCTGAACAAGAATGACGTGATCATATGATTTTGACATTTTCTTTGTGTTTATAGAAAAATTCTCGATTGCCATAAAACAGTTCTAGCGTGGATAACTTTTTTGGCATTTGAGTGATTTTCTTGTAACGTATCATTTTACATGATAAAGTAATTCTCATGTTTTCGGGCCTGCTTTTTTGGTTTCTTCTCGATAGCTTCAATTGTTTATTGTGGATGTTGCCTATTGTCCGTCATAGGTGAAGTCAGAAATGTCAACCTAGTGTGTGTTTAATTTTTAATTTTGTAAATATTTATTTAGTAAAAATTTATTTAATAAAAATTAAATTTAATAAAAATTAATTGTTTTAAAAAAATTTATATTTGAACATATTTTTTCAAAAGTTAGTTTGTACACTAAAATTATTTAATTGTGATAATAAA